TCCGTAAACCGTTTACAAAGCTCCCATCTTTCGCGACTCGCTGAAGCTGGGAACGGATTGAGGGTTCATCTTGTTAACTCACTTCGTTAAACGAACTGTCGGAAAAGACAGAACTTTTTCAACGGTCAGAGACCCGGCCGGGACAATGTTGTAACCCAACGCTGTTTCATAAAAAAGATTCATTTAAATGTTTTTAAAATTAATATACATTTTCTACTAATATTATAAATGCGACAGTAACTCTGTCTGTCTGTCTATTACGCTTTCACGCCTAAACCAATGAACTGATTTTAAAGAAATTTGGTACAAAGATAGAGTTGACCTCGAGAAAGAATATAGGATAGTTTTTATCCCAGAATTTTGAAAGGTTCTCTTGGTAACGCGATATAACCGATCTACACGCGGGCGAAGCTGCAGGCGGAAAGCTAGTTCGCTATAAAGATTTAATATTAATTGTTTCTTGAGTCTGGGCCTTAGAATATTAATAGTATTTTTTTCTTTTAAAGAAGTTAAATGGGAATATTTTTATACCAGTAAGTAAAACACATTTCTTATGATGTTGTTGTTTTATCTCTCTCTTTACATATTGACCTCTCGCTCGTGTACTGTACGTTTGGTTCCCAAGCCTTATTTCTTTTATTGTAGATCAATTATTTAAATAAAGGTCCGCGACTCTCGAGCCTCCCTCCTCGTTGACTCATAAACTGACTCACTTTTAACATTAACGTCGGAACACACCAATTTATTGCAAAACAGTTTTGCATGATTAAATCAACATAATGTGAAAGTTCCTATATATTTTATCCTTTTTCGTTTTTTGTATTAATGAGTTATTTTATTTGTTATGCAGACTTATTTACGGTCGTGTTTTTAGGTAGGAAATAAAAATATTTATTTAATTTTATCGGTAAATTGATATACAGAAGATTTTTTTAATAATCCGAATATTCAATTTTATAGTATCGTATGAATTTTCCAATTAATTTTATATGCCTTTTTAAACGTTTCTTTTTCTACCTTTACTCGATTTCTGCTTATTCCTTATAAATGTCAAGTGATTCGGTATCAGTAAATTGCTTGATTTTATTATTCATACGATTAATACTTTCACTTTATCATTAATACAAATTTTTGTCCTCAGTATTATCCTCATCAGATTCCGAAATGGTCCTAGAAATGTATGAAATGTGTTAAAACTCTACATATGGTAATCATCCAATAGCGACATCTATAGTCTGTCAAGTGATTTTTTGCAAAAAATGTAAAAAGAACTCGTTTAGCTACAATGAAATTCGGAATAAAGTCCTATCTCTTATACATATGTTGTATATTTAATATGCTTAAGCTAATGTGGAGTCTCATCAAAATCTGTGAAATATTTTTTTCCTACAAGAGCAACATACTTCCATACATTCGCATTTATAAAATCAATAAGTATATTAAAATTCTCACAATCGACAAGCAAATGTATTAACGCTCTCACATTTTAAATTCGATATGTTACAATACGATTCTGATTCTTAATATAAAATGTTCGTTTAATGTGACAAAGCGCGATCTGGGTCAGGTCATCTTACGGTGACAGAGCTCACGACTCACTGGTAGCTGTACCAGCACGTGATCTCAATAATACACCAGCCCTTAGTACATCAGTTTATGAGTCTCATAGATTTTAATCTATTTCAACGCGATCAGAATAATCATTAGACTTGTTTTTTTCTTTGCCGAATACAGACGATCAATTTTACAGGTTGTCTTTTTTATAAATATTTTTTGTGTTTGTTTTTTCTCTTCTAATGTATTAACGCTTATCTTCATTGGGTATTTTTTTTTAGATAATAATAATATTTAGTGTAATAGATTATCTTCGGTATTAATGTTGTAGATTAGTTTGCATCTATTACCAATAAATGTGTATGTCAATAAATTAAACACTTTTAATATACGTCGGTCTTAATTTAAGAGTTACGGTACAGTTTCCTAACGTTTTTGTAAAGGGCTCGCCTTGACATGATCTCGAGATGTACCAAGGCTCATCTTTTAAAATATAATGCATATGTATATATATGAACAATTCTAAAGTTCTAGCACTCTCAAATTAGCATTAAAATAAACGAAGCCAGGTATAGTTTGTCTGTTCTAATGACGTCCAACGTTCAAACAAATGATCACGTCTATGAAATATTATAAAATTATATATTATGGTACATCCTACATGAAAATATTTGAAGTATTAATACTAATAAACTATTTATTGAGTATGAACATTGGAATTATATTTATTTATTACTGAAATCATATCTATTACTAATGAATAATGTCAATTGTCTGCTATTTTTTGGAAATTTGTTCGGGAAATTTTGTATTTTTTTTCAAAAACGACTAAAGGGTGACGTTATCTATATGTAGGATAAGTATAAGTTGTTATATTCGCTTCCGTAATGGATTAAACTTTAAAGAAATCTTTATGTTGCTTAAAATATAAATCCCAATTCAATAATGATGAAGATGACAATGATATGGTATAAATCGTTATTAATCTTACTTATATAAACCTTTTAGTAAAAGTAACAAATTTAAATACATATAACTATTAAACAATATTTTATTTTAAAGCTACATATGCACTTAAATACCACGCTCTGAAATACGTGCTGCTTATGATTAAAAAAGATTTCACCGAAATATTTTAAAACGAGTTAAAAGATATGATCTCGTTTTAAATAATATTTTGACCAAACCATGGACTTACTATAGCTGTGTACATATTTATTTAAGCAGCTTTTATGAGTATTCTTTTAAAGGGTAGAAAAAATATTATATTTTTTGAAGTGAAATCCTTATTTGTATGTTTGAAATGGTTTTATTTAAATGTGCATTTTTAAAATATTATACATTATGAAATTTAATGTTTTGAAGTGCTCTATATAGATTTCATTTTGTTAAAATAAATGTTAACAAAAAGTGTGCTTCTACCCAATTTTTTACCAATATTTCTTTCAAGCATCAAAAAAATACATTATTGATATGTTATAATTAATAGAACTTATTTAATTATTGTTAACGAAAAATACTTCTAGATTTCTCTTTTATACAATGGTTCTGAGAATCACTAAAGAGATTTATTCATCTTCAAATCCTGGTTACGTCAGAAAACGTTTGTTCCGATTTCATCAGCTGGGGACAAATCACAGTCGTAAATATGCGAGGGACTTCAGACCCTGGCTGTTATTGTTCCGGGACAGAGATCAGTTTATCCGGGACAGAAATTGTACGAGACTTTATTAGAATAGAGTGTATTTGGTGACACTCGTGGAATTGCAAAAGTATATTAGATACCATTATAGGTCTTATATTGTTAATAGAAATAAATCTATGAATGGATTTTTTATTACATTCTTATCAAACAGCTCCCGAATACTTAATAATAGGTCTGAATACGTATATAGATATATGGAGCTCGTAATTTTTCCCGAAATTTCGAATAGTACCCTCGGGATTACGTCATAACAGCAATGCAATATAAAGTCTCCCTATCAATTTTTAAGGCATATATAATTCATTAATATGACGACGAAATAGCAGTCCATGTTGACGTCGCGGACAAAGGTATTGTTTGAACGAGCATAAAGGATTCAATTTGTTTGGATGTTCACAAAAATTGATTTTTAAGGTCCGTACTGTAATATTCGTTGATTTGATTCCTTGCGTGCGACGAAGCGGTTCAAGTTTTCCTTATAGAAACATAAAATTGAAAGAAGACAAGACTTTTTTACGTATATATAGATAATCATGGTTTTTTGTATATATACTGTAAAGTTTTTTGTTCACCTTATGGTTCAATCAATTAGGATCTCCGTTAAATCTCGTGTTATCGTTTAATTTTCATACTACTGTCCATAAACTATTTGTTCTGTAGTTCAAGTATCACAGTCGTAGTACAACCTTAAAGGTATCATTCCATCAAGTTAAACGTGCTTTTGCTCTTAAAGTTCCCATTTATTATGTATGGAAGTGTCTTATAATGTGTGGTCCAAGCACAAGCGGATAAATATATTGTAAGAGACGAAACCTCTTAGCATTCCATGGGTTCACTGCGTGGGTGTTTAGTCCATCGCGTTGCAGGGAGAGGAACTTCTACTATTATATTTATGTTTTCTGTGTGATAGTAATCGCTACATTCTTTCTCTTGGGACACATCCAGTACATATAATTCTTCGACAATGTAATAAACAACTAGGTTTATTGGACATCTCGATGTTGGGACATGTTTTGTTCTTACTAGAAAGTAATACTGTCTTTTAGTGATACGACTGTCATTTCCTCGGTTCGTGTGAAGTAATATGATCATCTCAACTTAAATATCTATTAAATTTTATATGTATAATAAATATGGTACCTGTATAAGTGTTTACAAACATACATTAATAAGTTCTTTTATGTTTTAAGTAAGTATAGTATTTGAAATCTTGTATTCTCGTATTTTTGTATTCTATTGTATTCATTTGAACAGTTCACCAACTAAACTAAAAGGATCCGATATCAATTAAAAAGTTACGAACGCGTCATTCTCGCGGCATGCGTTTAAATTATTTTAATGAGATCAATTAAGTATTGGATTTTTTGGTGACGGCAGTCGGCAACATATTTAATTAACAGATTTTTGTATTCATAAATACCAATGATTCAGGTAACTATTAATAACTCCAATATTATACTTTGGATGTTGCTGTAAATTATCTACTATTTATATAAAAAAAATAAATCATCAATAAAATAAGACAAAAGATCATATATATGAATACATTTTCATACAATAGTTTAGTTCTCACCAGATACGAGTACAATAGTAATCAAGTAGTGATAGTTCTTGCGTAATTGGCACACTACCTATATTACCGACCAGCCGATACGAGCTCTGTCTGTGTTAGTAGTACGTTTAGTAGCGTATGACGTCAGCTACGCTGTGGGGATCAAGATAGATTGGTGGATGTAGGTTCCTGGGTCTTGCTCAGCGCGCAGCCTCCGCTGTATCGAGCGACCGCGCCCCTACCACGTGCTCCATTCACCGGCTAGCCACGTGGGTTTTATGTTTTTTATATGTCCTATATGTTGATACAAACATTATTAACGCCATAAAGACTGGAAAGCAAATAAATATAATGTAGTTAAAAGTAGTGCGTTATTTTATAAGACTATTGATTTAATGTATGATAACGTGACATTTGTTTTGGAATAAAGTAATCGCATTAGTTGGCGTGCATATTGTTCATGGCATATTAAATTCATTGATTTGTATGAAAAATAACGAAAAAATACTTGGTAATCCTAAGTGGCACAGATCTCTCATAGCTGGTCGGGACAGCGCATGCGTCATTCAAGGGGAAACCCGAAAGCATTAATGCTAACAGCCCCTCATGAAATATGGTGCTGTATTTTAATTAGAAGCACGGACTTAACTTTCTTTATACTATAACTGGAGCCTATAATTTTGAAGCACATAAACGTTTCACACATTTAACTACATAGTAGGCTTTGTATTTTATTGCACTCTCAAGATATCATTATTTTGATATACCTAACTAAATGTAGGCCATAGTTATGTATAGGAATGATTTTGTCGTTAAAATAAACTGGTGACATCCGAGCCCGGGGTTTCTTATAGCGGGGGACTGTTCTAGAATAATTGGACGTCTAGTATGCAGATTATTCTATTAGGCAACCGCCTCGGCCGGCCATTTGATTGGAAACTTCCTACGATGCCGCGAATTATTTATACGTAGCACATTGTTCTATGACAGATTGACTTATACCATGCACCGAGCTCGTACATTCTGCATGTAATGAGGTCAGAGACTTTCGCGAGTTTTATTCATTTAAATGAAACTAATAAAGTAACAACCAAAGTTGTTGCTGAAAAGTAGCCAAATGTCGGGAGTATGTAGTTTTTTACAAAATTTAAGCACGCGTAGTATATCCGAAAAATTCTCCATATATTTATATGCCCAAGTGATGTAGTTGAATCTTTTTATACTCATCATATATTCTGAACTTCTGTTTTCCAGTTCATTTCCTAGTATTTATCACAAAGTATTTTATATATTATTATTTGGTATAACATAGTCCGGTTTGTATGTCTTAGTGTAAAGCTATCTGTTTCATAAGTTTGAGTGCAATCACCTGCATCAGATAGTAAACCTGTTTTATCTATGTCACGTTACGTTACTATACGTGATGACGTCACCGGAGTGAGGGTCAAATTAGTATGAATACGTAATGGAATGGATATCATATATTTAGAAGTAAATCAAATATTTTTGTACTATAACCAAAAAATATACTACAAGTAATGTTTGCAGCTTTTTAAAAGTATGTACATTTTAATGTTATGACCTTTATTCTTTTATATATAAGTTAAATAATGGAAGTATGTATATAGCTTTTAATTATATGTAAATAGTGAAGGCTGATTTTTGGGTGATGTTTTTTCTAATATAAAAAATTCTGTTCAATCTAAATACCTATTTCCAGTGCTAAGATTAGTTCAGATAAAGCTTTTGATTATAGTATGTATTTGGTAGCTGAGATTCTAATAAGGAAATAATGCCTATACTTATATTATATGATTTCTCCAAGATTGTATGCATTATATCATGGTAATATTTCTCGAAATAGAAATACAGTCTCGGAAAACAAATGGACTATATTCAGAATGAACAGTGCTTGACACAGTTTGTTTACGGTTAGCCGTCACGTAGTTTGCGACTTTGTCACAAAAATGAGTTACGGTGCTGTCACGTGACTGTAGGAAAAACGGCTTTATATGAAAACAAAGTAAAAAGCATAATTTTGAAGTAAGAATTACCTTGGAACGATCGATGCTAGATCATAATTAATTATTTTAATTTCTTTTTTCTATGCTATCACTACATTTACTGTGGAATTACATATAAAATAATTTGGCGAATTTCAACGTTTTCATCTAGTTAACGAATACAATTTTAAATAATTTTGAATATTATGTGGTGGAAATAGGAAAGAGTGATTTTAAGTTTAATAGTGGAATAGACATGTTATAATTTTTGATAATATATACGGTTTGATGTATTATATGTCTGTCAGTATGTATATTTTTTAAATATATCTCTTTAAAAAATCTCTTGCGTGACAAATTCCTATTAGACCGGGTGACAGACGAGAGGTTTGTGGATATCAAAGGGGTAATTGCAGTAGGGGAAGGGTAGTATAAATGTTGAAACTCAAGTAAACTATCTAGTCAACAGAACTAATTCATTGAAACTTGAAATATCTATAAATCTTCCTTTTCTTAAGTGTCAAGTTATTTTGGTTTATAAGATAAATCATTATATTGGAGTTAAAACTTCTTAGTGTTGCTGATTTTTATTCTTTTATTGAGATATAATCACGTCGCTGTGGCTAAAAATAACTGTTGTTTCAGATCTATTTCTTTGCCTATTTTTATCAATAGGATACAAATTTTATTATATAATTTTAGTATGCGAAACGAATTCGGTATAGAGACGGTACTTTTGAAATTAATAGAAAAATGTGCAGCTTTATATACATACATAAAATTCTACTATACGTGTGTATGTCACTGCACTCCTAAACGGGTAGATCGATTTGATTTTTTTTTGTATGCACTTGGGTGGCGCATAAGGTGTGTTAGATTCACAAACACTCCCGGCAGATGGCGGTGCAGTCGGTATCTGGGTTATATTAAATTATAAGGCTTCCAAGTAGGTTTTTTATGTATTATATTTGTCTTGTTTTATTCTATTGATGTACACGTGGACGGAGCCGCGGGCAAAAAATTGTATGTTATATAAAATGAGAAACAACATAGTAAGTGATAATTTTATTCACGAAAAGCTTTTGCAAGTTTTTCGATATATCTTTCCTAATTTGTAAATTTCAAAGTAATTATGTATTTAATACTACTGTTGGCTAAAGACTGTTCGGATTACTATATATTTTTTTATTGTAATATATTTGATAGTTTACTAGGATCCAAGATTAATTACGGAGAAATTAAAACAATAAAATAAAATGTGGATTATGTTCAGTCAGAACATGTTATCAATTATAAATGTATCTTTGCGTATATACATATAATTTACAAGCATTCTTTCAATGTTTTAATACAAAATGAATACATCAATGTCCCGGGAAGCCGGTTACCGAATCGGATCGAGCGGCGGATGTATCGGAAAATAGATAGCGACTCTTCCCTCTTCATATCCGAGCGATTTATTACCGATCACGTATCGATGAATATTAAAATGTATCGATATATCGATATATTACAATCAAATTTATGGATTTTACGATTATTTGTTTTAGAAAAATGTGAAGTTATATTTAGTATAGGTATATTTCAATGGTAGTAATAATGACTAAATAGAATTCGTATAGTATTCATTATATTATCAAGAATGTGCGGAGAAAAATTGCTAACCGACTTTTGACCTCGATATTATGACACTATTTTGACACTCTTCAAGCAACAGCATAGAGTTTCAATTATTCTGTAGGGTTGACAGAAACACCGAAAGTTTTTGCGTATAAATATTAATATATTCCTCGTTCAGTTCACTATGCAAACTCATATTTATGTTGAGAATGTCACGAACAATTCACTTAAGACCCCACGTTCTTACAAAGAATCCCATACGTTTTAATTGGGCAGTAGTTCAAGTTCGCTGGTCCAGTTGTAGTACTGAATATTACATAACATATAAACACAAACACATATATACATATGTATATATGTTTAAATATAACTCTATTGTTGTGTGTTTATGTGTGGTTCTCTTACGTAATAATGTTTTAGCATTTCAAACACAAAGGAATAAATAATTTATGATATTCATATATGGGTCGTCGTTTATTGTTATATCGTTTCATTTATTTATTTACTACAAAAGAGTTAAAAGAATAAGAATATAGAAATTGTATAAATTTATTTAGAATTATTTGTTAAATTCAATCTTAAACTAGAAATGGAGGCGTGGAAGTATGGTTGGCTGTGTGCCATATCTCCATATAAACTAGCATACGCTGTTACACTTTCAAATGGATTCAAATATACTAAGAAAGGATATTGATTTGAGGAATTGCTATTGTTGGAGCGTAATGCTTATATATAACATGAAACTACAAAATGTTACGTGTTAATAGAAATTTGGAATTCATTTTCATTAATGAAATGATTAGTTATTATTGAGATTTGATTATATTGAATAAACCCATTCAAAGATCTGTATATTGGCAATTAATTGCTATCCTTTGACTGTAAGGAAACGATGTATTAGTGTCTAACTGTACATTAATACCGTGTGATAACATAGCGGATAATGTCATAGAAATTTATTAAAATACAAAAACCTTTTAATAAATAAGAATCACAGATATATTTTCCTAAAACTATTTTGATTATATTTGAATTTAAATAGAAAATTGTTATAATAAAGAAAACAGTATATAAATATGGGTTATTATTTTTTCTTAAATGTGGTATGAAAATTACGTAAGTCAATAGTTATTGATTCTGGGAATATATATACGAAAAAATATCTGAATTATATGCCGTTGGATCAAATTAAGACGTAATTATTCTCTTGTAACAGATAACCTCTATTAGTTACGTATTTCAATATTATCAAATTATTATCTTAATATTTTTATTTAAATGTTTATAAAAACCGTTTTTTGAACATATAAATTGTTATTTATATGATTTAAACCACCGTGTAATCAAATGATTATTTCTAACTGATACATAAGAGCTGATTCGAGTGCATCTGCCGTCATCCCATGAAAACGATCCTTAATGGCCAAGATAACGCACAATAAATCTCTTAATCGCCGTCATCTGGGATGAGATATAATATTTCATACTTCACTGTGAGAAAGATCTTGTATATCGACTAGTATAATAAATGATGGGAACCAAACACGCTTCTCTACACTTGTTCTAAATACATCTGTTACTAATCAGAAGATCTAGATCCGTTGATAAAAAACTCAGCTTTCATAATAATCTAGGAAACGCTGAGCCGTCAAACCAGTATGTTGAGTCATTCTATATAGCATTATTGCTAGCACTATATTTGTATGACTCGGTGCTATCTCTTGCATGTTATACGCCTTAAATGACCAATAATATTTAGCACGGTAGAAAATTGGTCCACTGAGATTCCTAGAATTCTATCTATCCTTAGGTGGTAGAGCCTAGTTCTGGTCATGTTACTGCAGCTCGAACATGAGCTGGTTCGAACGGGGAAGTACCACCCTCTCACAGAAGATCGGCTTGAAGTAGCCTCTATTGGCTACGTTTCGTCCGATGAGTGAGAGAGCCGGTTGCCCTTTCCCTATTCCCACCCTTTTCTACCTTTTCCTTGTACCACCACCCAAGTACACCGTCTGCTGCTTTTCCACGTTTTACCTAAAAAGAAATGCTATGGAGAACTTAAATCTGTATTTTATATTATGCGTTGTATGTTTTAATAATCAAATCTCACATATGTTTAGACCATAATCCTTTTCGGGATCGTATCTGTTGGAATGCTTAAATGTAATATTACCGACTCTCCGTTTGGTATACTATGATGGTTATTTAATGGTCCATATTTAATATATTAAATTTATTACATCGTTAATTTATTTCTGTCTGTATACATCTATTTTTGTAATCGGTTAAACGTCAATGTTCTCATTCGTCGATCGTATTTTGATTAAGGTTTTTCTATACTTCATTCTGTATAAGATTTGGTTTTAGTCTAATACATATTCTTCTGTTTTCATTGCTTGATATTTTAATTTACATATTTTCTTTCCAGATATGCTCTCAGTGAAGGAGTGATTCAAATAAGAAGTGGAAAATGACATCGTAGGACAACTTAGTATTGTTTTCAGCGGTAAGTGAAATCTACAAACACATCATTAGAATTGCAAGTGTTACTATATATTTTTTTGTACTTAAAAATATCTCTGAACAACACATGCGAATGTTATAAAGCATATGTCACACTTATGACGTTTGAAATACTGATGTTATTATTATATATGTATGTATGTTTGTTACTCTCTTACACCTAAACTATTGAGTCTTTCAAGCTCCATTCGAGCAATATATAGTGTAGATGAAATAAAAAAAATATTAAAAATTAATGTCGTTTATAAAAAGTTAAATAATTACATCAATATGCACGCAAGAGCCTCGTCGAAATCGATCAAGTCGTTTCAGAGCTTGTTCGGAGTTGGCAGACATACAGAAAATGTTATTTTTTTATAACTATCCTCTCTTGCTTACTTAAATATTGTTTCTATATATTAAATATAGTTTGAAATCCCTTTGAAATTGATCCGCCCTAAATCATAAGTAGACGACGATTCATTTAATTCGAATCGAATAACGCAAATTTAATCACATAAATATGTATGTATGTAAATTAAATGGAAATTGTTTGATTGACTGTATAAATACTGAAATATGTATTAGTATGCAAAATAAGTTATACGAAGACCTTGCTTGATATATATAAATATTATCACATGCAGTTAATTACGTGGTAATGAGAAGTTTTATTGCTCAATGTGTGGAGAGAAATGTGAAAAAAATCTCGTATATTGAATATAATGATTATATAAAGGGTCGGCTAATTTCAAAGTAAATGTTTAAAACCAAGTATCATTTATAAATCACGTTGTATTAACAGTTCATTAGATATTTATAGACAAATAATAATTAATCAGTTAATCAACAAGTAATCTTGTATTATGAAGTTAAAGGCTAATATTTAAATGGCCTGTCTTGTTCCATGCCATTGTTATATATTTATATACATGTAAATATATTATAGTTTCTTCTTCCGCGTTAATTTGGGAATTAGTAATACGTGTATCTGAGCGAACAAACTCTATTCCACCCTAAAGGTCATAAATAATCAGATATTGGAATTTATTATTATTTTCTTCTTTTTGATCGAACAGAATTAACTTTCCTATGTCTAAACCCTGGTACTAAGCTATATCTACCAATTCTCAATCATATCCCTACAGTCGTCCTTGATTTATGAATAGTTTAATTAACACAATTCTTTTATAAATAAAGATACTAGCTGACCCGGCAAACGTTGTTTTGTCATAAAAAAAAAATAACATTTTGGGTTGTACATGTATTTTTTAATGCCACGTTATAAAAAAATAAACCCATAAAATTACAAAAATATTAAAGGTGTACAACCCTTAACACTTAGGAGTATAAAAATTAGATTAAATTAGACCTATTAAATACGCATATAAAATTTGGTAAAAATCGGTAGAGCCATATCGGAGGATTACGGTAACTAACATAGTGACATGGAAATTTTATATATTACAAGAATATAATGTACAACCCTATGTACTTATATAAATTTAAAAAATAATGTACAACCCTATGTATTTATATAATTTAATATTAATATACAACCCTATATATATATCGCCAGGTGTGTGGGTAGTTCGTCCGTGATGGGCGCGTCGGGCGTGTCGGACGAGTACTCGCCGCCGCGGCTGGCGCGGCTGCTCCACTCCTTACCCCACATCAACGTGACGCTGCATAGAGTCAACGACACATTCGCACCAAACTCACCAATATATCTTGAGGTAGGTTATATAGGGCGTTGAGAGCACCGAGGTGTCAGGTTTCATTGGACGTAGTAACAATAAAAGGAATGGTACAATTGAAGGGATTGTTTTCATAGCAAATAATTATGAGTTTGGATATCGTCGGATTAAGTATATAGCAAGAGTAACGTTTGTGACATAACACGAGCAAAATAAGTTCCCGTAGGTATCCCTCGTTTTGATGACTGTAATTTAATTCTTAATAACATCAACCCGTTTAATATATTATATAGATGACATAGAAACTATATCCAAAGCTTGTATATAAAGATATTTAGGTCTACACATAAACGGCCTTTTGAAAGAATCTACCAGCTCCGAGCTTGCTTAATTCAGCACTAAGAATTTAAGTAGACAGGGGCTGTTTCAAAGTAAATGTGCTTGGCGTAGACATGTACATAGAACAGTCTATATGAGAGAGCCAAAAATCTAGTAATTGTTTTCTAAATTTAAGGGATTTTAATAATAATATTACAGAAAATCTTATTCTTTTTTAAGGTACATATCTTATCCGAAATATCTGTAACAGTCTCGTATTATTGATATTGATTCGTCGGAAAGTTTCATAGTTCATGTACGTATAATATTTTCAGAGTCTAGGTATACTCGGTTCGATTCCCGGTGCGTGGCTCATACTGACGCTGACTGTACTCCTCATATACCTGCTGACGAGATGCTGCGACAGGAAGCAGCGCCCGCCGAGGAGTATCACAGCTTTAAAGGTAATGTTACGATTAAGGTACTCGTATTAAAGTAATATATAAGTTCTTAAAAGAAAAACCGCTTTACATAGCATAGCTTTCTATGTAGGGCGGCTTAACATACAAAAGGATAATGGATAAACTGATTTGAACGAATAAAAAAAATATTAAAATGAAACTGGATATCTATTTATGTTTGTGACATTTTTTTCTTTAATTATTTCTCAATCAGTCAAGGCGTAGTATTAAACTGCTTTTTAGTGTTTGAAACACAACCTTGATTTAACACTATCTATAGAATTATGATTTCTAAGAAAACCAGTATCATAAATTATTTAAGCTATTTGGGACTTTACAATGGGATGTTTCTCAGTCATGTCTGACTTTAATTTCTAGAAAAAGTCGTGGCAATAAATTAAATTAATGTTTAATTTTTTCCATGACTTTTCTTTGAAAAATACTAAATTGCGACGTTAATAGGTACATTTACTTACAACAGATACAATGGCCCGTTACATGTATGTTTGTATGCATATGTTTTGTGTACTCTATTGGCCTTTGTTCCTTTCAGAGTTTACGTTCAACTTGATAATTAACGATCAAATTCCTCCATAAGGTTTTAATGGACCTATCTTTCTATTGTGTTCCTACTGTTTTTCCCTTAAAAACATTTTTGGCCATAGTATTTTACGCAAGCAGTTTTTATTATCATGGTCCTGTCTTTGTGTTGTCATCCTACTGTTTTTCCCTAAAAAGTTTCCGTCCATAGAGTATTTTATCCAAGCAGTTTTTATATAAATGCTATAATCTATTCAGATAACGCTGATGATTCTATCGGTGCTATGTTGCGGTGCTATCGGCGTCGGTCTTTTTGGCAATGATGACCTTCATAACGCGATGCTGCAGAGCATCCAGGCTGGTAACCAGCTCGCAGCGCTCGTTAATACTGTCAAGAACCAGGTAATACCAGAATCTGCCACTTATATAGGTTTGAGGCTCTTATTACAACAAATTATTAGCCTTTTGTGTACTTATAAAACATGAGCACTTATAATGTCAATATTATGAACTTTATTGATTTAATCTGAATAAAAGAGCTTAAAATTCATGTAGTGAAATACTTATAATGAAATTATCAAAGTTTTTGCAAAAAAAAATAACGAAACTAATCTCTAGTCTTAGGTATTTGGACTTAAATTTGCTTGATTTTTTTTTTGGTAGATCTATTCAATGAAATATTCAAGAGACTTATCCCATCCGAAGTAGCTTTTTTTTATGTGAAAGGTGGCAAACGAGCAGACGGCCCACTTGATGGAAGGTGGTTACCGTCGCCTATGAACATTCGCAACATTTTGTTGTGGATGCGTTGCCAACCTTGTTTTTTGGGGATTGGGAGGGGTGGGAATAAGGAAATGAAAGGAAAGGGTAGGAATAGGGAAAGGGCAACCGGCTCTCTCACTCATCAGACGCAACGCAGCCATTAAAGGCTACTTCACGCCGATCTTTTGTGAGAGGGTGGTACTTCCCAGGTCGAGCCAGCCCATGTTCGAGCTGTAGTAACTCACCACAGCTAGGCTCTACCACCTTTAACAGCTTTTTTTATATACAAAATTATGATTAGAATTTCCTCTAATTCCAGTCCAGTATCCTTGAAGAAGCGATGGGTTCCCGGGCTCGAGCCCCCCTCGCTCGCCTTGCAGACGCTCTAGATGCTCCTGTGGCTAACCAGACAGCTCTTGGTACTTTACTAAGAGCCTTATCCGCTCTCCGGAACAACGCCAGCGCGGCCGCCTCAGCTGCTGATAACCTTAGGAGGCCCTTGGCAGCGCTCAGCCTTGACGCTTTCATGAAGGTACAGTCGTAATGTCAAGTGAAATGATTAGGTGTTTGGGAATGTACTGTCGTAAAGACAAGTGACGATATAAGCTGGTTTGGTTAAGATTGAAGTTGTAAGTGTATATGTCAGCTGGTGAATATAAAAAGTATTGATTGATAGTATTGCTGTGAGTACATATTTGAATAAAACTTTGATATTCAAATTTAATTTCTCAGTAGAAGAAGAAATTATGAAATAAGTGACAGTCGAAGACTGCAAGCAATTGTAATTGACAGACATTTTAATGTCTTTTGGTTACAGAACAGAAGCTAAAATGTGGAATAATCAAAATCACAGTTTTATATACAAAATATTATTAATAAATATTCTTACAAATGCAAGCCCACATTTTATCTCACTGTACTCACAGAAGATGTAGTATTTGGTCATAAAAATATATTTACAATAAATTAAAACTGCTCTCCTGCATACACAGTTAATATTGATAATTATTACTAAGTAGTTCATTCCACATAAACATTCAGGCAAGTCTTATGATTCGCATATACATTAGCAAGTAATGTAAATAAAATACTACTATACATATATATGTATGTGTATATATATGTATGTGTATATATATGTATGTGTGTGTTTGTTCCTCAGCGCCTGTGGGTGTGGGAGGCTGCCCGCTGGGCGGGAGGTATGGCCGGTTGGTGTTGTGGCGGCGCGGTGTGTGTGGCGCTACTAGCGGCTGCCGCGAGGCGCTCACGGCGGGCTCTGCTAATGCTATGTGTTAGTCAACATATATAACATAGTTTCATATTACTTCCTCACATATATATAGTATACAAAGTATATACTTTAGTTTTCGCTAGAGTCACTACCTATAGTATATAAGTGCTAGGAATGTATAGGACATAATTGACTTGACGCACACGAGATAATTGATTACAAATATATCTTCGGATAATGTTGTTAGAATTAGTTCAAATAAATGTAACAAAATTTTCTATTAGATACTATATTCTGATAATTCAAATATTAATGGATGTATTTAAATGATTTGCAATTGATTGTGATTTATAGTCGCTTAAAGAAAAGTCATTGTGTTAAATCAGAATGATTAATAAATAGATCGATTCAAGGTAAAGAATGATATCACCCGGAACCTACAACAGCCATAAATGTTATAATTTTTTTCACCCTGAGTTGGTCCTAGTCAGATAAAATAGTTTTATCTGCTAAAAAGACGAAATAATTTCTGTGTATTACTAGTTTTACATCTTATTTATATTTATTTTCTTCCACACAGTTTTTACCAACATTCCGTTCGAGTGCAAACCATGAACTTTATAAGTATTTTTTTTTCTTATCGCGATATATGCAGATGCATCACAGGATATTATATCGTGTTTGTCGAAAATGATCAGGCCTTAACAATTAAAACTAGTAACTTTGGCGGTGATCGACCATAGACTGAGATAGAATGATATTTGTATCTCGTATTAACGATAACATACCTCGAGAACTGACTAGTAATATCGCAAGGATTTTACTAATAGTTTGAAGAATCTTCTTAAGGCTCTAATCCCTACTAATATTATAATGCTAAAGTAACTCTGTCTGTCTGTTACGCTTTTACGGCTAAACCACTGAACTGATTTTAATGAAATTTGGTACAGAGATAGAATTGACGTTGAGAAAGAACATGGGATAGTTTTTATCTCAGACTTTTGAAATGTTCTCATGGAAACGCGATATAACCGAACTCCACGCCGACGAAGCTAGTACCAAATATCTCATTACCAGCCCATGTATATTCTATATCTTTGTTATATGTTTTTTGTAGGTGTGTGCCCTGGGCGCGCTAGTAGCGTGTTGGGGCGCCAGTGCGGCATTGTCAGCGGGCGCGGTGGCCGCGGCGGATGCATGCCAAGACCCGGCCCGCGCTCTGGCCTTGCACGCGCCGCACGGACTACCCGTCGACGTGAGTATACCATATGAGATAATACAGTTTAATGATCTACTAGCTGCGCCCCGCGGTGTTACCCGCGGATTTCCGGGATATAAGCCTATGTGTTATTCCTGGACGTCAGCTTCCTGTATACAAAATTTTAACAAAATCGGTTGAGCCGTTTGAGCGTGAAGAAGTAACAAACATACACATACACTCACAAACTTTCGCAATTATAATGTTAGTAGGATAGTATTTAAGTATAATAAAGCAACAGATGGAATGTTTACACATTGATATGAATATACCTTTTATTTGATTACTTGTCTAAAGCAAATCATGTTGTCATCGTGTTTAATCTTAGGAAACAATTCGTATATTCAGTATATTTTGTCATGATTAATTTTGAGAATAATGGGCATTAGATGTGGCAATTTGAAGGTCAGTTGACACATTTGTTTTATATAAATTAAGTAAACATTATATTATATCGGATCACTTTAGATTTAAGTACAAATGGTTATCTATAGAATTTATCCCTTAACATAGGTTATCACTTAGCTTAAACAGTTTCACTATTACAGAACCTCTATACTATAGAGTAGTAAAATATATTTGCAATTTATTTTACCTACTTTACTAAATAGTTTCCTACTATATCTTTCAGATGGTGCACTACTACCTATCTTGCAAGGTATCCCGGGAGAACGTTCTAACAGCCGAACTCCGTAATGCTCAGCGCGCAGTGGTGGCAGTCAGACAGGCGCTGGCCATCCTCTCAAGAGGAGCTCCTCAGCTGTTCAATGACCCCGGTCAGTGTTTTAGACTTATTGCTCTCGGGGTTAGTGATAGCCGCGTTCAATATAATTCGGATTTCATATATATTATGTAAATAAATTTAATTTCATTAAGTATACTGATTATACTTAAGTAATAGAATTGCACACTAAAGACTAAAAATAGTCCATTATTTTATGTATAAAATGTGATATACATGTTATATAAGTATGTAGTATAATATTTTAAAGTTATGTAGTATAATATTTTAAACTCTGTGTCAAATCTTCCTAAATAAAAACAATCTAAAACGAAATCTATTTCTCCAAAAACCAAACTACAATAGTTTTATTATACATGTCTTATATATACAATAAATTATTGAACTGTGTGGGTATGTGTGTTATATATAAGTATTTAGTGTGTGTGTGTGTGTGTGTAGGTCTTCAGCCGGCGCTGGGTGCGTTGGGCGCGGGTACGGGCGAGGCGGAGCGTGCGCTCGTGTCTCTAAGCGGGGCGCTCGAGTGTCGCACGGCGCGGGCCTACTTCGTGGCGGCGGCGAGGGCTGCCTGCGATGGAGGACTACAGGTCAATTTATATATATAAAAATTTCGTGTCACGTTTTTGTCCGCGACGGACTCCTAAACTACTAAACCAATTTTTAATTTCATTTGCATTTCGTGTGCATTTTGATCCAAATTGAAAGATAGGATAGCTTACATCTCAATTTATAGTCACAATATTATTTTATTGCAAATTATTTGTCTATTAAAGAAAATTATTTGTCATTATTACAATTATCTGTTGACTGAGTTAAGTATTCAATAGATGGCGCTATGTTGAAAATACATACGTTATATATGAGCGACTATTTAATAATAGCATAACCACCACGTGTTTCTGAGGCTAAGGTATAACCTAACTTTATTTATTAAAAAAAGTAACAGATATTTCTTGATTATAGGGCGATACGAAGTTCGCCGGATCTTCTACTATATATGTGTATATATATATATAATTGGTTGTTTTTAAAGAGAATGACGTCAGCATCGATGACGTCACTAATGACACTTCTTTCAAACACGTTCCATGATATTTTAAACTTCACTTTTTCTAAATGATCTTGTATTTCTGAAATAGAATTCTATTATTCTTTGATTTCGTTTTACTTCTAACAGTAATTATGAGTACCAATGACTTTTTATAATAATTGATGGCAGGCACAAGTTGTTGTGATATTTCATTCGTCATTAATGCAGACATATTACTTATTATTGAATGTATATTCTCATGTATAAGCGTATTCGATTTTAAAGTTATAAAAATTATAATACTAAAGAAAAATCTATTTTGCATGAAAGAAAATGTCGATCATGAATTTATGTTCAATTTTATTTACCATACAAATATTTCATAGAAAATATTATTGTTGATTTATGTATCAGCTGCGTAAATTAAAGATTAAAAAGTTTGTTTGTTTCCTACCATTGATCATTCTAATGTATTACCTAATGTTAGTGTGGTAAGATTAAAGTTTATCCGTTTCATGCTATTGATCATTCTATTGTATTAATGTTAGTATTATAATGTTCCAGGCGCTCTCCCTACAGCTGTTAGCGGCCATCATCGCCGGTTTCCTCTTCACTGCCATCGTTCTAGTCGACTCACACGCTTGGATCTATATTAATACCAAGTAAGACTTCTGTTTACATCAGATGATATATTTTTAATTGTTTACAACTAATTCATGTTATATTTGTTCCAGGCGAAGCGTCTCAGTAGAGGAGCAGGCTCCGTTCTTATCGACAGGCAGCGCCGGTTCCCGCACCCTGCCCCGGCCGGCTCCCTTCCCTAACGGCAAACCTCCCTCCTACAGCGCCGCCGTACAACTCATGGACCTCGCGGACCGCGACAGAGAACGACCCAGGTGATAATATTCACTCATCAACATATTATATCGAGTGTTGTCGTATGAGCTTGTAGGAATAGTAACATAATATTGTTGTTCCCAGGTCTCGTATGTCCGGCAGTGCCACGCTAGGCCGTGCAAGCAGCGGCACCGGCGCGGCGGCGGCTCTAGCAGCTCCCGGCGGCTCCCACACGCTCGGCCGAGCTCACAACGGCAAGTACGCCACCCTCAGCAAGCAGTGCAAGACGCTGGAGAGCAACGACTTCTACTGAGAGCGGGCGGGCGCCGCCGCGCCGGCCGACCGCGACGCGGGCCGAGCGAGCCGTTCGGGCAGCCTGAACCGCTTCGACCCCAAGTACGCGTCGTTCGGCCCGCGCGCGCGCCGCGCCCGCGCCCCGCCGCGCCGCCGCCCGCGCTCGCCTCCTTCTCGCCGGACAAGTACGCCACGGTGCGGCCCCAGCGGCGCTCCGACCACCAGCCGCTGTCCGCCGCCGCGCTGGAGTACCGCAGCCTGCAGAGACCGCGCCGCGCGCCCGCCGGCCGCCGCCGCCCGCCGCCCGCCGACGCCAGGGACCTGTACGCCGTCACTGAGCTGTAGCGACACCCTCACGACACACTGATAAAAACCTTTATACGGACGTGACGCGCTATACAAGGCGCCGCGGACGATAGAATAACCTGTGAAATACCCGTGTATGTACTCTACGATAGACTTTACCTCAACTCGGATGCTTCAACGTGACCGAACATGAATGAACCACTGCTGAGGTCGTCCGTCTCTCATTCTCTCTACATCACACTACACACACACTCCACTTCTGTATGATCGTCTCATGCGCGACGATTTTATACAGCGTGTTCAAAAAACTTTAACGAATGTTCGAAGATTTGTTACTCGTTAAGTATCTCATTAAATCGAATATGTATTTATAAGATGTGATTTTAATCTGTCTCGGTGACATCTCGTAATCGTCTGCTAGGTTAATTTTTTTTTGAATTAATTCACGAAAAGACTTGATATAAAACAACAAGCTCAGATATATAATATCAGGGTTGATTTCTATGTGATGCTCAATCTGTCGAATGGTCTAATAAGTTATCGTTAGTGTACCTTGCGAGGTCGCGGTGAAGGCCTACGATAGCGATTATACTTCAACGCGAAGGCTAAATTGATTTTACTAGACTTTACTTAGATAACATTTTACATGTTTCGAGGGTAGTTTAGTGTTATGTGGGCATTTATATTTTATACTTACAATCATTAAGGTAGTTAAATGTACATGTGTGTATTCGTGTATATAACGAGTCCTGCAAGGCTGTGCTAACAACATACTGACCAAAACTATCTAACGCGTTCATTGGACGCCGAGTTTTTTGCGTGTCTTCTGATCTGTTTTCGCTCAACGTATTGTTAAGATAACTTATTTGTAACGTTAGTTAAATTCGGTGACTCTTTAACTGCAATAGGTGATTTTGTAAAGGACGGTTTTATCGATATATTGTGTATATTAATATATTGTAGTAGTATATAATGAGTACATGATAAGAGTCTACAATGTTCTTGTATTGAAATTTGAATCCAGTGATTAAACGAATGAAAAATGCAACTTACTAAAAGTGTTGTTGAAAACCAACAGAATGAACAATGCAAGAAAAAAATACAGTTATATTTTATTTAATATGTATATTTATATTAGTTTAATGTTTTTTATGGTACAATTTTATATATCATTAATTTAATACATATAGCGTGTGATTTTTTTGTCTATTCTGAAGTAGATTACGAGGTAATGAGCAGACGAATCGTCGCTATTGGAATCTCGTATGATAATAGCGTTAATTTTTATTGTTAAAACATAAAGAGTGCAAGCGTTTACGTCTAGTTCAAACTAGATTATAATAATTGTAAATAATATAATAGATTCCATAGCGAATAATTAGTTAATATAATAAGGGTAACGGATTAAGCATTCCAACGTGTGTAGCTTAATGTGGAATTGGTAGTGAAATAATCTGATATCAACTTAAGGTCGTGGGTTCAAGGTGCATATTGCCACTGCCATTGGACGAGCAATTAGTGTAAGTGTATTTAAAATTACTCTCAAACACCACGTATACATATATCAGAGGATCGGGTTAATATTGGAAACTAGTTATCATTATAAGGCCTAACGGGAAGCCTTAACCGAATGCTTAGGGTTATTGCCTCTAATGTCATTTTGACATTTAATATTTGGCGGTAAAAAAAAAAGAATTTTTCGCGTTCATCTAACTAACCCTATAATAATAATTAATGAATTAAAAGTAATATTAAATATATGATACCAGTTTTATTCAGTATTATTAGTGAACTTTGTGAGACTTTACAACGATTTTGGTAAATTTTTTATGAGCAATATTTCATTTTTTGTTTGTCAGCTTTATTTCACTTACCGTCAGCAGTTTCGCCAAAGATAATGCATAATTCTAATTTTAGTTTATCTTAAGTATATAGGATCCTAGATTTTTATTGACTGCTGTTATTTTTTATTTATAAATTATGTTTTCGAACAACATTCATGAAGAACATTGCACAATATTTGCATTGTAATAAAAACTTTTGGAATTCATTTACAGGTGGATTTTTTTTTGAATTTTTCTACGAGTTTAAATGAATTATATCGAATGTATGCAATAACAAAGTATGTTATATGTAAGCTCACTGTCTTTCGAATGTAATGTAATCTTGCACACTATTTATCAACATATTCCTTATAATAATTAGTCAGCTGTAAAATATTTTAGATGTATCATAATTTTCGTTGTTTCTATTAAATATTTCTTTTGTTCTACGGAGCTCCGTACACAATAATGTTACCGAATTGTCTATGACTGCGTCTTTTACAACAATCTGTTTGTATCTATGTACGTGCCATAATATTTTATTATTAATTTTACTAACATACCGTTTCATCGTGACGTTCCTTTCTTTAAAAATAAAATCTTAATTTTCTTTTATTATATCTTCAAAGTTATAAATTAATCGTTATAGTATTTTATTTTTATCTGTATCGTGTTTAAGTTTTTGCTTTTCAAGTCAATTATGGTGAGTGTATTTATTACGTGTATTTAATGCATTGCAAGGATTTTTTGAATTTTTTTATTTATTTCATACTTTTCGAAGTTTCGTTACTGCAATGAGTTTTATAATGTTTTTTATTTTGTACATTTCTTGCAATGCATCTAATTCAGCGAGATGTAATGGCTCGCGAGTCATAAACGATAAATAGATCATGTGTATGGGTTTACAAAGCAAATAATAAATGAATAAAAATAAGTCGGTCTCTTTTACTACACCTTTCCTGAGTTTTGTATAAAATTCTGACATTAATTTAACAGAAAGATTATATTGCTATTACATTATGAAAGTTTATCATTAAATATATATAAAAATGTCATTGTTTTATAATCTGTGGAAAATTTATTTTTATTGTTCCCATCCAATAAGGGGCCATCCATAAAGTATGTGACACGTTAATGGAGTGTGACAAGGGACATGGGGGGGGGGGAGAGCACTAGTTTTGTGACGTCACAATTTAAAATATAAAATATTAAGCGCAAATTTTGCATGTCAATTGAAAATTAAATAAAAAGAATTTGATCTATAGTAATTTAGCATTCTTGCTACGAGAAAACTCCTCATGAAACGTTATGTAATTTCTTGATCGGCGTTGTAACGCAAGTGAGATACTAAAATTCACGAGAATTTCGAATGGTAAGGATTTAAATAGATTTTATGAAATGTTGGACTTAATGTTGATTTTATTAGATTTAATAAAAATAAGTTAACAATTAAAACAGCTTTAACACTACAATGGCGCACCTTGATTTGTGACTTACTTATACTTGTAATTTAGTAAGATGGGGTAAAAGTACCGAAAAAACTTACAAATATCTGTGGAAAGGCAGTTGGAACTGCTAAGCATTTGGTTGTAGTATGTAAGGTACTCCTGGACAGTGGTCAATACTCGCGTCATCACGATAGGGTTCTGGAAATCTTACCAGAAGCGGTTAGTCTTTCAGTAGCCAGAGAGCAAAGCAAATAGATTTTGCTAGAGAGGTACTAGGTCTATAAAATCAAACATCAAGCCTTACTTTACTTTGTATTTTACTATAATGATGGATACGTATGAGAAAAAATACAAAATCCAAGAGCATATCTGTGCGTCGGCCTCCAGACCGGACATATTTATGTATTCGCGAATTTAAAACAACTTTTCAAATTTGTTTAGGTAGGGAGAGGAGCTTGGACAGTGGAGGTGAGCGTTTAACGCGCGTTAGATAGGGGCCCCTTAAACCTACACCTAGGTCGCAAGTCCCAGGCACTGTTGAAACTCCTCTCCCTGCACGATGAATCCAATTAATACTAAAAAATTACGTCTTTTTTTAGCTATATTTTTTAGTGCATATATTTTCTATTGACTGAAAATTAAGATATTCTCTTAATTAGTGCATATATTTTCTATTGACTGAAAATTAAGTTATTCTCTTAGTTGTGACGACACTAACTAAAGACCAAATTGTTTCTCAACGTTAATACAATTGTTAAAGTTAATATAAAAGCGTGTATTAATATTAAATGATAAGTTTATTACTTTATTTGATAATTTAAAAGAATTAATTCACTCTTCCTACATACATAGTAATGTATTAACATTCAAAGTTTTTTTTTATATGTAATGCTTTATAAAATATTTAGGCTTTATAAAAAAAAAGGTTGTCAACGTTTTTCATTGTTGGACGAATTATAATCTTGAGTACCTATCGTGTGGAGGGAACACGAAGTCGAATGGAACGATAAAAAAAGTTTAAACCTGTGCCTTACCAATATATAAATGTGACTAGTTAGTAGCATTGGCTTTAAGGGAAGTCCTCAACAATGTTTATAAACAACAATATGGCGTCTTTATGATGAATTTAAAAAAATATTCGCCATACCCTGAGATTTTACTAATGTATATTTAAAGGTAGAGTATCTTTATTATGAATATGCATGAAATGGAGAGTATTTTTTATTTGAGAAATGTACATAAATATTGATAATCTAAGATCCCACTGCAGGATTGGCGCGTTCATCGGTTATTTGTTTAAAACCAAATATTTATGTTTATTTATAGTTAGGAGAACATATATTTACTAAGATGCCTATCAAAATTTAGCCGCCATTATTTTTAATTAATTTTTGGGGAATAATGTCCGTTTATTTATTTTTTAAATAAAAAAACCTATACATGATAGTAATTCATATGAAGATTCTAAAAAATCACGGTTGCCATTGCGCACCTAGCCGCACTTTTTCGCAGCCAGGTGTAAACAGGTATGATTTTGATAAATTTATACCTACTTTCATAACGTATATTCATTAATTATATATCAAATTGAAGCTATTTTTTTTCTACTAATTTTCCTATATGGGTGCCTCATTAGATCTGGCCGCAAATAAGGGTTACTGGCTGTTGAAAATGATAAATATTTAAGGTAGAGTGAAAGAGAGCTAGCGCGTAACATCATTTGTCTGACAAGGATAGCGAATACCAGCTGTGCCACACCTTTTAGTCATTGCGCATGCGTCGATGATTAT